GTTACGGGCAGGCGGGAGGGGACGTGTCCTGGGGGAATCCCCCCCCCAGCACACCCCCAATCTCACCCCGGCCCGTCTCCCCCCAGCTCTCCTACATCGCCGAGGACGAGAACGGCAAGATCGTGGGCTACGTGCTGGCCAAGATGTGAGTTGTGGGGCCGGGGCGTCAGCAGCCCCCCAAGCCCCGCCCTGGCCTCCCTCGTCCTCTCCCCTCTCAACCCCCCACGGCCCCTTCCTGGTGCCTCTGCCCCCCCTCCCCTGCACCCTCCAAATCCCCTGTGCCCTGCCCGCCCCCACTCCTGCCCTGGCCCCCTCACGCCCCCCGTGTCTGCCCGTGGGGCTGGCTCGTCCCTCGGGCTCCGTGCTGACTTCTCTCCTGTCGCCCTAGGGAGGAGGACCCCGACGACCTGCCCCACGGACACATCACCTCCCTGGTGCGTGGGGGGCTCATGGGGGGAGGGGGGGGCTGGAGCGGGGGAGGAGGAGGGGTGGGAGCTACCAGATGGCGGGGGAGGCAAAAAGGAGGGTCTGGAGCAGAGGGGTGCCTGGGGGCTATCGGGGGGCTGGGTGCACACCGTTCGGGGGGGCAGGTGCAGACGGGGGGGGCGCCCTGTTCGAGGGGGACCGGGTGCAGACCGGGGTGGGGGGGCGCCCTGTTCGAGAGGGGAATGGGCGCAGGTCAAGACGCCCCCCTGGCCCCCCCAGGCCGTGAAACGCTCCCACCGGCGCCTGGGTCTGGCGCAGAAGCTGATGGACCAGGCGTCCCGCGCCATGATCGAGAACTTCAACGCCAAGTACGTCTCCCTGCACGTCCGCAAGAGGTGAGCCCCCCACGGGACCCCCCCCAGCCCCGGGACTGCCTGGGACCCCCTTCTTCACACCGCCAACCCCTCCCAACTCGCCTGTAACGGGTCCCCCCAGCTCCCACTCGGAACTGGGGTCCCACTGAGTCCGTCCGTCCGTCCCACCAGCACACAGGTGGGGACACACCTGGGGAGCTCGGCTAAGGAGCTGCCCAGTTACTCAAGTGACCCCCAGCTGGGACCGTCGGGCGCTGCCCTGGGATCGGCCCAGCGTCAGCTCGGGACATTCCCCCCCCGCGATGTGGAGAGGGATCTGCCCGGCTTTCGGCCCCCAGGTCCGATTTCCACACACTGGCCTTAGACAAAACCAGCCCAAGAGAGAGTCCAGAAGCGACGCTAAGGGAGAGCGGCAGATGGAAGCAGCTCACCCACCAAATAAACAGCCCCCAAACGGAGCGTCGCACCCTCACTGGGGTGTCAATCGGCCAGTGCTCCCCCAGCGCGACGGACAGGCCGGCTGGGGCTCGCGGCACAAGCTGCCTCGGCTCTCCCAGCTTTTCATGCCCAGGAGAAAAATCCCTTCGCCTGGGACCAGCACGTCCCCCGTTTAGTGCTTGCCCCTCCGGGGTTTCCGTGTGTCGTTGCAGGGAGAGCGAGGGCCCCTCTGATGTCATCGTCCCCCTTTTCTAGCTTCTCCCCACTTGCTGGAAAGCTCTTACCTGGGCCCCACACTTCCTATGGGGTTGGGCTGTCTCGGTCCCTGGGGCGTGTGTGCGTTTCCCCAATGACCCACGGACGGGGTTTGGCCTTTTCACTGTCCTCCCTGAAAGGCTGCTTGTCGGGAGGTTGAAAACACCCCCCCACACACACACACACACACATTTCAGTAACCCACACACACACTCCCCCCCCCCCCCCCCACCCCCCCCCCCCCCCCCCCCCCCCCCACCCCCACCCCCCCCCCACACACACTTCAGTAACACACACACAAACACCCCGCGCGCGCGCGCACACACCCTGAGAGCACGCCAACCCTCTGTCTCCGCCAGTGACAGCTCAGCCCCCCGGCTGCCGGTGCTGGGTAACCCCCGGATCTTCACCCAACCCCCCAGAGCAAGTGCCCCCCCACCCAGCTCCGAGCCCCACTGCCCCCGAGCCCCCCACCTCTGCCCAGAGTCCCTGCCTCAGCTGGGCACATGCTCCCCCTGCCCTCTCTCTGGGGGGACCCAGCCCCGATGGGGCCTCGTGCCCCCATTTACTGACCCCTCTGCCCCTTCTCTTGCAGTAACCGGGCGGCTCTTCACCTGTACTCCAACACCCTCAACTTCCAGTGAGTGCGGGGGGGGGCGGGGGG